ATGAGAGGCGGTGTCTGACCCCGTCACCTCTCCTGACATAACCCCTGTACGCAATTACTAGCATCAATCTGAGCATCCATCTCTGAAAGCTTACTGTTTGTTTTCATGGCTTTGCAGGGGTGTGCCAATGTTACGAGGCATCTAGGTTCCTAAGTGGCTGGATGAGACACAAGCCTAGGGTAAAAAGGCAGAGGGGGACTAAGAAGTCAGCTTCAATGCTCCTTGGCTCCCCCATCACTAAGAACCTCAACCCCCTATGTTCCTGGCCCATGAAACCTAAATTATGCTTGCCCGAGTGGTCCAGAGACACATTCCCACTGCTGGCAAGCAAGCATGCAACCAAACTGCCACTCACTCCATCACCGTGCCCTCTCTTCACAGCCTAGAAGACTATAACTAGACCATCCTAAGATAAAATGCACAGAATCTTAAAATCACTGACCGTTACCCTTAACATATGTATTTGAACTTTATCTCCCTTAAAACTTTGCAGCCTTTCCTATCAGAGGAAACATCTGAGGGCACACGGAAACAGAAACGCAAAGAGAAAGATCACACTGGGCACAGTCCTACACGATGACCTCACTGGTCAACCTCGTGGGCCCTTGATTCCCACTTCCAAAGAGAACACACGCTGGGCAGTCTCTCGTCCTTCCATCCACACAGGACCACCACAATCGTCAGGACTCACTCTGCAGGCCACGGCAAATCAGTGGAAAGACGAACTCAGGCTGTCAGGACTTATTACAATTCCTTACTTCAATTAAAATGCCTATGGATTTTATGCCAAAATGAGAATGTTTTAAATTTGAATTATTAGCTTCCAGCAACCATCCAAATCAATGTAAAATATTTAATGCTCCACTTTATGTTGTTTAAAACTGATCTTGTGCTTGGAAATTTTGGCTGCTGTGCCCATTACTGTTCAACCACAGAGAATGCAAAAGCAAAAGCAGCTTCTACGCTTATGAGCTGCAGCCTTTAACATCCTAAGTTCATCTCCAGCAGTCATCACTTATTGAAGCCATATATATGTATGCATGTGTGTTAGGGTGCTCTACAAATATTAATCCATTCATTCAATCAGCGAGCATTTATTGAGCATCTAGTAAGTATCATGCATCTCATCAGGCATCAGAGATAAAAGAGGATGAGCAAGTCCAAGGTCACAACCTGTGACAACTTGTGGGGAAAGCAGATTCAAATAAGGGATGACTATGCCGTGTGTAAATGCTGTGATGGCGAAAAGAGGTTATGAAAAATAATATCTCAGAAGTGTCAGATGTTCACAGCCGCTGTCTCTAACTCTCACAGCACGCTGCAAAGGCAGGTGTCTCCCCAATTCCCAAACGAGGGGACTGCGGCTGTCCCACACCACACACTGCCCCTCCATCCGCGTCAGCATCCACGTCAGCATCTGCATCCTAACTCCTCATCTGGTCTCAACATCGCCCCTGCAGACCTGCGCTAGCTCATCCAGGCGTCACTCAAACTTGTGCCTGGTGTACGCAGCACACGACACCCCCGGGACCAAGGGCACAGAGCACACCCTGAAGGAGCGCTCGAGCTAGTCCAGGAGCGACATCAGAGTGATCATAACACAGAGCAGGGATGGAGCCTGGCCCGGGGCTGCCTGTGGCCATGGACCAATAGACTGCTTCAGACAGCAAGTCAGCTGGTTCTAAGAGGGAGAAATTATTGTGGGGGGATTTATTCAGGAGGTGGGGCCAGGTCTTAAGATCATGTAAGGTCAGACAGTGGAAGAGGAAAGAAGGCCAGTCCCTCAGGAAAGCAGTGTTCAGAGAGGTGCCCAGAAGGCTCACAGCTTAGGCTGAACCACGGCCAGGGGTGTAACTGGAGCCCTAAGGTGGGTGTACTGTGCCGTGTACACTGGGCACAGGCTGGGTGGGACACGCCAGCCCGCAGCTGCCCCAAGTGCCAACTGATGAGAGCGGAGAAGACACCCCGGGGCATTCAGTGCAAGTAACAGCAGACGGAGAAATCTGCCTTTACAAGAACGCCTCCCGAGACCCCCACATTGATGGAAGCAGTTCTTCAATCCACCTCCTGGGATAGAGGGTGAGACGCTAAAGGGCCTCCTGGAATTAACACAGAAGGTCACCACTCCTCTACAGATGACGGTCTGTTCACTGTAGGGACTTATGTCCACCTGGGGATGTGCAAGTTCGAGGCCAGAGCCGCATTATTCAGAATGAGAGTGGACAGGCCGAGGGCTACAGTGATGGGTCTCCCCCATGGCCCTTTTACTACAGGGTCTCCCTTCCCAAAATTGGTAAACAGATACTTAAAAGAATATTGAGTTGCAGGCCAAGTTATTAGCCTGCCTGGAACACCAACATGTCTGGGCCAGTCCTGCAGATGATATCTATATTTATTTAACTCTTTACTGCTGATAAAACATGTGTTAGATGACTTGATTCTCACAACAGCCATGAAATAAGCACCAGGCCTCTCATTTTATAGGTAGAGGTCCTGAGGGTCAGAGAGGATAAGTGACCTGCTCAAGGTTATAAAGCTAACAAGTGGTGGAGCTGATTTTGGACCTGGATATCTGTCCAGTGATCTGTCTGCTCTATCACTACTGCAATAATCATAATACTTTATAAAAGTTCTTTAGAGGTGACAGAGAGCTTTTACAGTAGTCCCAGGCAGTACACACAGAGACACACTAACATACATAGACAGACACACACACTCACCCTCGTACATACACACTGAGTTTTCCTAAAAATAAAATAACAACGATAATAATAATAATACTGTATTCTACTTGTTTAAAAACCCGTCTTCCCTCCTCTAGCTATGGACTTTGTCTCAGCACATTTAGAAGGTAAGTGAATCACTATTGTCTAGATGACTGTTAAATACATGTAGGTGAAGTCTTGAATCCTAGAGGTTGGTCTGCTTATAACTCGCTGCATAGAACAACTTTGCATTTGTGCTAAATACCTGCCCATTTCCATTTTCTGCCACTAAACCCCTGCCTTGACCCCCAACCTTCTCTCGACGTCACAGGAAGCCGCATCTTTCCTACATGTCTACCTTACGTCAGGACTTGTTTTCAGGAAGAGGCTCTTTCCCAGGCAGACATAAAAAATCACAGGACTTGGAAAAAACTTCAGAAAAATCAACCATTTACCCCATGTTTAGACAAAAACAAAAGATATATCAGATAGATGGGCATGTACACTTTATTGTAAAAAATCCCCAACTCCCACTTTTTCAGAGCACTTCTTTCAAATTCATAGGTCACATACATTAAATTATTCAATAAACAATTTGTCAATTAGTCTTGCACAGTGGGGAGAAAGTTCTACACAGAAATGTAGACAGAGCCAAAGTCAAAGCAAAATGCTAGTGACAAATGAGCAAACCACCTCCCGGCGCAGAGGGCTTGTCATCACGCCCCCGCAACAGAGATGACAAACTCCGCCAGCCACATGGAGGCCACATTTCTTCCCCTTCTCATAACACATCATTCTACCACAGGATCTTAATGAAAATGAGGACACTATACTTAATCCATAGAGCAATCATCTTACCTAATTTTAATCACCCTCTCAAAAAGAGAATTTATATAATCAGGCCACATCACACAAACAAAATTAAAATACATTTTTTCACCTTTTCCCTACTCCCAAAGGAAAACTCCATATACCACTCATCTTGCTGAAACCACAGGAATACAGTGATTTAATTCTAGTTAAACCAAGTATTTTAACCACATACTCTTAATCTTAAACACATCCATGAAACACAATTTTAGAGAGCTTTCCTTCTTCCTTAGTTACTCAGTAAATCTCAATATACAGTGGGCGCCTCCTAGGCACAGGCTCCCCGTGATGTTCTGAGTCAAAACTAAACATACACAGAAATAGTCTGATACTGCAACTTTCTAATAATTGCTTTCACTCTGCACTATTATTTGAACTTTTAAAAAATTTTAGTTAAGCTCAACTTTCATAACTTTCATTAGGTAATGGAGGGTGTGGGTGTTTCTGAATTTCCTTTTCACGAAGAAAAAGGAAGCTATGTACCAGGACATCAGGTGTGTATGGAAAATACATATCTTGACACACATATAAGTAACTACATACTTTTCTTGTTTGTTTAAAGATCCTTTTGCCTACTTTACTCACAATACAAATACACTGCAGTCAAATGCCTTATGTTGAATTTAAATTTAGGTGTGAAAACTGGGTTTTCTGCTAAAGGTAGACCAGAGCTCAGTCTAGCCTATCAAGTACCCAGGGAAGGGGAAACCGATCCAGCCCCAAGATGCCCCCAAAGAAATCCTTCTTTGTTCACCTGGAATCTGAAACTCAGAATCACAGCTCCCACAGTGAGGGTAGTATCCTCTGAATTCACATTAGACCTCAGTCATTGATTTGTTAAAAATTTAACATTGTGAATGAAACCAAAGCAACACTAACACCAACTGGGTAATCAAATCCCTGGTTGGAAGAAGTTTCAAAATTCAAGCCCAACGTCAACGTCTGCCAACTCTGCATTTATGACCTACTTATACTTGTGTATGTTTCTGAAAATTCAGAAAGAGAGAAAGTATTAGGATTTTAAAAGCCTATTAATGAGTTTGCACTCTGTTGAAACCACACACAAGAGCCACCTCCAGCTGCAATCTTATCTCGGCGTTAGCCTCATAGTCTCAGAAGAGCAAAAGCTGACAGGAGTTACTGCAGACGGTTAAATCTGTTCTTGTCCAGGGGTCTTGATCAATACACTTTGCATCATAATCTAACACTGAAATTGCCTCTCCTCCACCCCCAGCCCCTTGGATGAGGGGGTTTATTTCTGGTCCCTAGCCCTCGCTAGGTTAGTAACTCTTTTCTCTATAATTTGAGCGTCTCCTGGAAGGGCAAGGAAGACGCCTGATTCAAACTGCATTTGTCCACCGCCCACTGCCCCCAATGTTATGCATTGCACAGCTCAGTAGCGTGCGCTTCCGGCACCCCCTGTACCTGCCAAGTTCCTCGCCGGTGTCGTAGTAATCATCCACGTTCTCCTGCCTGAACACCGTCATGATAAACTGTCACGCCTCACCAAAGCCCAGTGCACTTCAGCTCCGCTTCCCAAACCATCACCACCGCTCCTGCGCCTCCGTGGGCCCCTCATGCATCAGTCTCCAGTCCTTTAAAGAAAAATGGCAATAATAATAACAAAATGATAACCCAAAAAGGAAGTAGACCTCCCCAGGGCCAAGCCCCGCTCGCTAGCTGAAGACCACGTCTCCCGAGCTGCCCCTCCCTGCCCGCCGGGTGGAGAGGAGCACCCTTTGTTAAACCCGGGCCAGGGACGCCCCCAGCCCCGCATCGCTGGCGCGCGCGTGGGGCAAGGCACAACCGCACCCCAAGTCCGCGTCCCCGACAGCAGGGCGCCCTGCACCGATCAGAACCGGCTCCGGAAGTGACTGGCTTCCCCTCCTCCTCTCTCTGCACACACGCCCACCCAGCTCCCCACCTCCAGGGGCGCCGTGGAAGAAAGAAGCCCTCGCCCGGGCGGAACTCGCCTCGCTGGAAGCATCCCTGCCAGCCTGCAGCGGCGGAGCAGCCCCCTCGCCACGTCTCGGCTCCCGCACCTCCCCGGCCGCCGTGGCCACCCCCTCTCCTCCCTCGAGCCAGGCAGTCCCCAGAGGCACATTCCTGGCGACTCCCGCTCCGTTACCCGGCCGACCCGGCGTGCAGCCGCCCGGGGGAGCAGGGGAGGGAAGGGAGCGGCCGAGGGAGGCGCGGCCGCCCGCTCCCGGTCTCCGGGACCCGACACAAAGCGCCCGGCCCGGCCCGCGCCACCTGTTCCCACCCGGCCTGCGGGGCTGGGGACGCCTCCTGCCTGCGATCCCACTTCTCCCCGCAGTCAAGTTTCCCCGGCCTCGGCCTTCCCGGCTGCCCTGGGCGCCGCCCGGGCAAACCCCGCCGCGCCGCGGCCGCGAAAGCCAGAGC